ATTTGGGCCCTAATCCAGCAAAGGCATAGTCACGTTCCTAGCATTACACGCTGTGACCACTTCCATTGATTTCAAGTACAATAAATTGGAATTAGAAGAACATGCCTAAGTATTTGCTAGAGTGCTAAGCAGTTGCCACTATCATGGTACTTCTTCTGGGACAGCAGAGCTACAAGCCCCTTCCATAGCACCTAAAATTGAACTCAGGTTTTTGGTGCGAAATCTGTTTCACAAAACATGGTACTGCCTTAAATTGCTGGGTCAGTTATTTATTGCAGCAAATCTCCAGCCCTATTCAGCATTATTTCTTAGAGCATCTAAGACACAGTGGTTTGGTCTTCGGTATGCTTTAGGTATTGTAAAATCCCAGCAATTTTTTAAAAACTCTCTATTGCTTTATAATGTATTTTGAAGTGTCTTGCCTGTCTTTCTCAGATATTGTAACAGTATCTACTTGCTATCCATCTAGATGGTTCACTGTTATAGGCTTAGTTTTGATAAGAATTTTTAAAATCCTGACAAGAATAGGCTCTGAGATGTTGCTCACATAACTTGGCATTGCTTCAGTAGCTCACAAAAGCATCCTGTGCCACCTGAAAGAAATAGGCAAGGTAGTGCTTACAGAAAATGATCTCTTGGTAGCTACATTTTTCCCCCCGCAGCGCTATTTTTTCAGCCACCTTAAAAGGGCCATTGTGATAGAAAGATTGAGTTTGAAAGCTTGTCCAGTTTCACTATAACTTCTGTAAGTGATTCTATTCTGTCTTAAAATGTTGTTTATTACTTCCAGCTCTACTATATATTCCTCTCTGAATTTCAGGAAAAGCCATAGTCTCTGTTCCTGAAGCAAGAGGTGGGGATGCTTGGTAGCATTCCAAGGGAAATTGCTGATGTTTCTGCAAACTTTCAATTTACTATTGTGAAAAAGAAATGAAATATTTTGTTCTGGAGCAGATTAACAAAAAAAAATCCAGACTATTTTGCTAAGATGTCTTGAAGCATCTATGGAAACCATTGCTTAGTGAAAACATTGAAAAGACAAAAAAAATTTATTAGGATTGAATCAAAACATGAGAAAAGGACAAAAAATTCAGGGGGTCCCCAGGGTTTTGTTAGGTCCAGAATGAAACATTTGTTTTCCTTTTCAGATCTTGTAACCATTTTCAATACGATTTTTCATTTGCATCAATTTTGAAGAGAAAAATACTATTTTAGAATAAGTTGGGTTTTAATATGTGCTGAAAAAAAAATTGCAGTATTTCCCAACTGAAACATTTCAGTCCAAATATGTTAATTCAGATTTTTTTGCCCTGTTTTCTCCAATCTATTCACCAAATGTCTTTTTTGTTTTGTGTATGTGTGTCCTGAAATTACTTTTTTGAGAAACTCCTTTGTTTGCTTGTTTGCTTTCTTGTTTGTTTGTTTGAGCAATTCAGAATCTTGTCAGATTTTGGTATTTCAAGCATAGTCACATCAAGCAGGGGGAGAAAATGCCATTCAAGTAAAAACTAGATTAGAATGTGTTCCACAGGTTTAGTAATAAAGCATTATTTTTCCAAGAGCTCTTTGAAATACTTGCATCTCTGTATATGCCTGAACTATTTCCTCAGGATAAGGAAAATAGGGTGTTCTGTGGCTGATCATAATTTGTTTAATACTCATGAGACATTTGGGTTGCCACTTGTCTCTTTTTGTTTATTTGCTGCCAAGCTTTCCCTTTGTTTTTCTCAGGTAGGTTAGGGCAGGAAAATGCTGCACTCATCAAAAGATGAGAAGTCCCACTGCCTGGGGCCAGATGTTCATAAAGTATTCCTTTGATTTTTATTTTTTTTTTTTCCTCCAGTCTCTTCCTCCCCCAGCAAAGCAGCTGAGAGTAAGTCCCTTTTCCCCTTATGTTCAGCTGTGTGTCATCTTGAATTTAGTCTGAGATTTCAGTCAATTTAACTCTGAGGGAAGGGGCTCCTGAGGCAAATATTTCCCTTTCCTTATTTCAGACATTTTGCTTGGAAACTAATTGCACAGATTGGAGTTAGTTCGTTTGTTATGTTTGTTTCTGGTAACAGAACAATATAGAAGTAAAACTGAAGTGTCTTCTGAAGAAAAGGTAATTCTTCCTCTGCATGAACTACCTGAAAGTTCCAAACACACATGCTTTTGCTTTGGTTTTGCACTAAATAACACTAATTAGATGAATAGTATTAAATTCTCTTAATAGAAATCTCTTACTCTCACTAATACTAATGAATAAATATTTAAACTTGCTGTAAATATTCTCCAGTAGTTATTTTTACAGTAGCAGTAAATTAGAATTCCATAGTGCGAGAGGCCCTGAACAGAGGCTGTACAAAGGTGTTAAACCCAAGCCTGCAGGTGAATTAAAACAGAAAATAGTCTTGACAATGGAACGTTAAAAGCTTGTGAATATTTTCAATAGCATGATTACATCATAATTGAATACATCCTTTCTCACATATATTTCAGTTTTTCCACCCCATCTGCCTCTTTTGGTCTCAGCTGCTACCGTGATAGCCCCTCAGGAAAGCATAATCTCTTTAGCTGTGATGCCATAATCTGCTGTTAGCATAAGAGTGGAAGACAAAAAAATTGGAGGATGCTGCACATATTAAAACATTTCCCATTTTCCTCCTCAGACTAGAGGCTTAAAGAAATTAAGAAAAATTGTTTTATTGTCAATAAATTATAAAAACTATTACATTACAGTTAACTGAATCTTAGAATTATTCTTTATTTTTCTTGATAAAGAATCTTCTCGGTTGTATTTCACTATTGAATCAAAGCTGACAGTTATTGCCAGCTGGAAAAAATCCACTGACAGAGAGGAGCTTATCCCACCCAGTTTATTGCTGTAGCACGGGGAACCTGCTTGACATTGATCTAGAATTTCAGACAGTGCACAATGGCTCTCTTAGAAGCTAATGCACACACAGTACACACTCCAAATAGGTTTCGATTATGCTGGAGAGAAAACAAACACGCTGGCAGAAATATGTTATAGTATGTTGTGATGATACGTCCATTTCCAATCCAACAGCTGGAAGCAGAAAGGTTGACTGAAGATGAAAGGGGATCCCTCCAGTACAGGTTCCAGCATTCTTGGGAACCAGATGGACTGAAATGGAAAACAGAATTAAAATAGGCTACAAAAATCACTGCCAGAAGAGGTTTTCTTTTTATTCATGGTGGTGCCAAGTTTTCCTAGAAAGAAATTTGCCATGTTAGAGAATCTGAAGATAGGAATGAACTGGAACCACCTTTGTTCTCTCCCAACCGGTGCAGGATTGTTCCAGGTATATTTTCTAATCTTTGTGTAGTCTGATTTTTGAAGACTCATGAAATAAAGCATTTTATCTGCCATTTTTTAAATTATTTCACAGTAACAGTTTGAGGAGAATTTTTCTTAAGTATTCAGTCTACATTTCCTTTCTTAGCCTCATTGCTATTAGTTTTATCATTTTAAGACTCCCTCAGGCAGCTTTTCCCAGTGCCTGCTTTTTGCAATTTCATATTCTTCTGTGTAGTTGTTATGTTTCTCTACAGTTGCCATGATATTTTTTGTAAGACCTCTTGTTTAATGTCACTTATAGATGTCATTACTGTTCTGTTAACTTCTCCCTTCCACTAATGAAGATGTGAAACAACAGAGAACCTAACATTGCTCTTACTAGGTACTTCTTGTCAACCTGCTAGGCTGCTGTTTATAGGTACTCTGCCTTTATGGTCCTTCAGTTTGCATTCATTCCCCATGACAGTGCTCTTATCTAAGTCTTTTCTAAATTAATTTTTCAAGTAAAATTTTCTGAGACACTGTAGGAAAGATTTTGCTGATGCTTCAAGCCAGTTTCATTGTTTCTGCTCTTTTCCCTTCTTCTACACTAGAGATTTTGTCCGGATGAAAAGCAACTGAGAAATAACAATGCATGTTGAGATACCTCTTTTCCCACTTCAAGTGTAACTTGCTGATCTGGGGATCCTGCTGTATAAACACTTGCTGCCTTAATGGTGGGCACTATCAAACGCTAGGTTGTAAACGGCATTGACAATCTGTTACTCAGAAAAGATTCACAGATCGCAAACAGATGTGTCAGGTGATCAGCTTATTATTAGGTAGACTAAAGGCTGCAATTTCGTCTTATGCAGTGTATGTATTGCATCCTATGCAGTCAGTATTAACAGCCGGTTTCACCCCACACACATTGAGTAAAATGTTTTATAGGAGTGGCAAAATTCTCTTTGTCTCAGCATAATCTTGATTTCAGATCAGATAGAAATTAATTTAACCAGTGGTATTTTGGAAGAAACAGATCTCTGTTCAGTGTGAAGATGGCAGAATTTGAGTCATACTAGATAAATCAGGATTGTCTCTACCCTTTCCCTAGTAGACAGTGATTTCACAGAACATCCTCTTGGAGCCTGTAGCTTTTCAAAATAAGGAGCAGGGAGGGTCACTTTCTGAGTGTTAAGAGGTTCCTTCCTTCTTTCTTGTAAGATACTGTCTAATTCTTTTTGGAATGATAACGACCTTTGGATGGAGTTAACTTCCATCATGTGAATCAGTTGTATTAGTTCATTTTGTAAGGAATAATCCCAATGCTAATCATGTCATAGTCAAATCAAGCTTTTATCAGTTAAGCAGACTACTAGAGATACATCTTTCTCTTGCTTGTCTTCTTCCCAGTTTCACTCCTCTTTGGTTACCTTAGCCTTCTTGCAAGCCTGTATAGCCTAGCATTGGACTGTGTGCCATCTCTCCATTTCTTCTCTGCAGCCTCAGGGGTTCAGGAAAACTTTCTCTTAGTCATACCTTGAAACCTGCAGCTTTTTTAGTCAACCTCCTGTGTTAGTACAGGGTAAGGACTGTAGTTTCCACTGATAGATCATGTCCTTGCTTTAACTGCTGAGTTAGCATATAGACAGCATAGGCTCTGACTGGCATGTGACGTCATGGCTTCTTTTGTTCTCTGCACTGTGTTTACCTTCAGGGGTTATCTTGCTGCTTCTCGACAAGTTACGGAAGATGAAATGGGAGCAGATGTGGAGACTCACAGCAGAGCGGGAGTTAATGAGCATGCTATCCACTTCACTGGCTGACCAGGTGAGTAGGACATTGTCGACATTGTAGAGTGGTACAACCACTACTCCATGGACTGAGGAAGGCTGGAAAGGGAAAGGGAATATGATATGGGAAAAGGCCAAGGAAAGATATTGTGCCTGTAGTCACCATTTGTTGAATCATTTTGGGGAAAACATGGAAGAGAGGAATGGAGATTTGCTCATGAGTTTTCTCTTACTACACTGACATTTTTACCTCTTCTGCACAGATGATTCATAAGACACACAAATAGGGTTTTCAAACTTTAATTTTTTGTCCTCCTTTCTTTAACATAAAACTCTCCAGATACTAGAAATCCAAAAATACTGTGTCTTTTCCTGCTGGTTGTTGTCTAAGCAGACTTTAGTTTTAAGAGTCTCCAGATATTTCTTTCCTGTTTCTGGCAAATACATCCCAGCAGTCTTTTAATGTACTCCTTGCCACAACACCTTTGTGAAGACAAAAGCACTGCTGTCTCCCTGCCACAAATGGGAAACTGAGGCCAAGACAAGAAATAGTGTGCCTATACACAGAAATGCATATTTACTCTTTTTGTGCTTCCTGCCAACACTCAGTTTTAAGTCCAGAAACCCTGTTAATGTTGTACTGGGCCTGAACCAATAAGTCTTGCTCAACAGCTTGCGTGTACTAACTCTATTCAGCATCATATTTAGATATTTCTACTGCTTATGGGCTACATCTGGCTTATGACCAGTCACCACTAAGGAAGCATGCTGCATACTGTGCACATGCGTACAGTATCCTTGCAGGTTGATCCAAAAGCTACTGAAGTTCATTGAAACCATTCGTGCGACCTCACTGTGTTTTCAGTGAGGTCCTGAGTTGTTATGTAATACCTGCATGGGGCAGAATTTTGCAGAGAGGACCAAGGTTGCTTATGTCTTACCCTAATATCTTAACCACAAGACTGTCCTTGTAACTTACTTCTCCAACTGGATGGCTACATAGAGGCAGAACACATTGTGTCCCTCAGGATGTAGGCTGTTCTGCAGATCTGGCCTACATGCACTTTCCATGAAATACCTAGGCACCTTGTTGCAACAATAAAGTGCTAGCTAAAATCCCACAGAGTAATTCACCTTGAAGCAGTGCAACTGCCAGGATCACTTTCATCCCCTTTATTGAAAAGTGATGCAGTATTTACTAACAGCAGACAGTTTGTCATTTCCTGCGCATTACTCTCCCTGATGACTAGAAGAGGAACCACATCTCGTGCCAGCAGTACAAGATACATGTTTTGAAAACTTTGCTGGACTCCATTAGCTGTGTGTGTCAAGAAAGCCTGTTCCTCTTGTTCAGGTCTACACATCACCCCTTAGATTGATAGCACCCTCTATGGAAATAGAATTACGAAGCAAAGTTTGCAGAGTTCAGCTCACATAACCGTTTGCATTTCTATGTGTGAGGGGGAGAAAGACAGTCAACTCAGGGAGGGGCTGAGATCACCTCACTGTAGAAACAACATACCCAACTGTTTCTCTGGTTTTGTCTGCTAGGATATCTTCAATGCAGTCATCAAACAAAATCCCTTCCTTGTCTACCAGCTCCCATGTTTCTGGAATGTGCAGCTGTCTGATCACACACGTTCAGAGCAGTGCTACAGAGATGTGTCTGACCTGAAGGTATGTTTCACAGGAGGTTGGATGGGTGTTATCCTTTGGGACAGAGAACACTGACAAAGGACTCCACTCTGACAGAAAGATGAAGTTCCTTAAGTAGGGGGGAAAACTTAACGCATACAGTTTCTGAGGACACGCAAGCAGAGGAGGCAAATAGGACTTTGGCTTTGTGCATTTTGACTGCTAGAAAAGTCGAAGATGGATGCTGCTTTGGGGTTTGGCAAGGTGTTAGAGAAAAGTGCTTCACCTTCTTACATTCTGTACCTGTCACCTCTGGCACTGCATCTTACTGCTGAGTTCCTGTTGCTGTCCCAGTTCTTAGCTCTTCATAGCCAAAGAATATGAAACCTTTTTTTTTTGTACTGGGCAAGTTTGAAACTCTTTAGTCAACATCATTTAATAGAGCAAAATTCACAAAGAGGGTTAGGTGGACCCTAGCTAGAAATATATTACTCAAAATTTAAAGACCTTGCACACTTCATATTTAGCCTTTGGATTCACTTAACCCAGCCACACTGATGCTTATTTTTCCAGGATTTGTCCTGGAAAAGAAGGCTGAGTGGAAAGCTATTAATTTAATAAAATGAAGCTATAGTATCAATTTAATAGCATATTTTTCATTATAGTCAAGTAGAATATAAAAGCATGACGGATTTAGACATATGTGGCTAAATTAACATCAGTTGTACTGTGGTCATTTTGAAAGGCCAGACTCAAATGTAACATGCAGAGAGTTCAGAATTGAATCTGATTGAGCTTCTACCAGATATAGAATAAGACTGTCTGGCTAAACAGCAGTAGATTCCATCAGAGCAGACTAGTGGCACCAGTAAATATCAGGTAGCTTTTGGCAATTCATTTTAAAATTCAGTTAAGGTTCATATACTTAATTTATGCTTTGAGAATTTTTCAGTAAATGAGATTTAGGAAAAAAAAAAAAAAGAAAATAAAAGAAGAACACAAAACCATAGCAAAGGTTGGAATGGACCTCTGGAGACCATCCAAACCCCACTCAAAGCAGGACCAACTTAGATCAGGTTGCTCAGCACCTTGTGCAGTTGAGTGTCAAGGTGTCAAGTCTCCAAAGACTGAGATTCCACAACCTCCCTAGTCCCCTATTCCAGAGTATGACCACCCTCATGGTGCAAAATAGTTCCTAAATCTAACCAGATTTTCCCTTGTAACGATTTGTAGAGTAACAGCAGGAGTGTTCAATATGAATACCAGATACTGGATGAATATAGAAAATCAATCACCCTCGACACACGATTTCAAAAGCTGCACTTCTCAAAAGACAGAAGATCTACTATATGGATTAACTGACCTGTCAAAGCTGGCCAGTATTGCTTGAATTTCATACATAAAGTATTCACAACCAACTATTCAGGTGTGTCCATAGAAGACAGCTTTTAAAGTTAGATCAGTATACTGGTCAGTACACTGATCACTGAATGTTTTGTGATAGATGTTTGCAGGGCAGGATCAACACGTGGTTTTATGCCTTGTAACAAAGTGCTGATAGAGATTTTAGTGCCGTGCTCATGTTAAGAATCATGTATGACAGCAATTGCGAGGCCTGAAACAAAAGGAGAGATGTAGTAGCAGGGAAAATGTTTTATAAAAGATTAATTTTAGAAAAATACACCTCCTACCTGGAAGATACCACAGTATTTTTCTGTGAATTAGAGGCTGAGGTTAATTCATATAATCCACGGAGACAGTCAGATTGGATTCAGCACAAGGTTAAAACACATACATTTACATGAGAAAAAGATATTGAAGCCAATAACTGAGGATCTAGGGCTTGGTTCAATTGCCTAAACACAGTTTGAGTCACCACAGGTACTCTCAGATGTCCGTATGGGACTAGCAGATACAACTCAGACGTACAGGAGACAATACCCTTTTGGCAAGACACTGATGGGCAGGCAGGATAACCATAAGCCACTTTCAGTGTTGCTATACATCTGTATTTAGGCAGCTGAACTGTGATCTCCATATGTGGTTTTGGAGACTTGTTAAGCACACCTCATTGTAGGCATATGACAACTAATCAGGCAGATCACTCTTTAGACTCCAATGACTATATTGACTAACCTGCTTCAGGTGTGGGACATCTGGCTTATATGTAACACCTACAAGTAAGCATTTAATATAAGTATCTTAAAAATAAATTGAATCCTTTCTTCATTGTCAATTAAAAATTTATGTTTACAAGTATAATTTAGGCTTGGTTGTTTATTACCATATATTGTATCACACTGTCAGTTCCATTACAGTGTAGGCAATGAAGTCTAAGATGCATAATATCCTCCCCTGACTTTCTGGTCTGAGGTATTTAATTCAACAAGGGGTGCAGACACAGAAGCAATTTCTTCAGTTGAACTAGACTTATTCACACTGCTAAAATTATCCCCTAAATATTGAATCAGGGCTGAAATTCTTTGCTTTGAAAGAGAGTCCAGAGCCTTATCTAGTGCCCATAAGTCCGCTGGTTTCAATAAAATTCTTCCCATATTCAGCAGTTAAACAACTGGCCCTCAGGCAGCACTGTTTAAAATTCTTCATACAATTAAAAGAAAAAAAAAAAAAGCATAAACCAATTAAAGTTGTGAATTTGCATTATGAAAATTAGCAGATTCTAGTTCTGAAGAGTAACCAGCTGGTTTGGTATGTGGTCCTCTCAAAAAAGCAACAAATGTCGTTAGCCCAAGTTAGAAAATATTCTCTTAACATCACTAAAGTTAGTCAGTTCCATGGCATTTAATATAAATGGTATGACACAACATATTTGGCACATCCTGTATTTCATGGTAAGACTGGAATAAGAAGCAAGGTAAAAGAAGCCTTCAGGGTAAGAGGGAAAGAAAGACAGATTGTGAAGTTTATACTGGAGGATTAGGAAAGATAGCATAGGAAAGAAGGAAATGCAGGGAGAGATTTAAATTGCAAGGTAAAGCTGGCCGAGTCAAGTATTGCTTAGTCAAATCAGACTGCATTCCTCATGTCAGACTGAAAAAGCAGTAATTTAATTCCATCTGGCCTTAAAGTCCACAGGACTTGAGGATTTGTCATCTCTTGCACACAACATTGTGTCAAATAAACTTAAACTTAGACCCTCCAGGGCTGGCTGCTGTTCAGGTGTGGGTGTGGGTGTTTGAATGTGTATGTACACACACTTCTGTGCTGCTTTGTTCATGTTCGTGCAGATACAGTATGACCAGCATGCTGTTTGCAGGCCTGTGGAGTGCTTGAATATTTCATATTGCCTGAAGAGGATTCTAATCACTTTTTTCTTTTTATAGCTCTCATTGAGTTGCATCTCTATCCATTTTATTGATTTTTTTTTTTTTTTTGGTACTGTCTTATTTTAGAGAAGGTCAGATGTTTGACTATTGCTGAACTCTACTTCCTTGCTCAAGCTGAGCAGCATACACAAATTTGGAAAGATTTGCATATGGGCATCTTTCTGAAAAGGTGTAAGAAGTATAGAAATATTTATAACCAAGTTTCGCATTGTTAGTGGCCACTAATTTTATATCCATCTAAAGCAACATCAAAATAAGACTGCTTTATTTTTTTTATTAATCTAAACACTTACTTGCCTCCTGTGTCATATTATATAATGCTAGAGGCCACACTGCACACACCTAGACTAAACTCTGTGGGCTTTATTATGCTGTCTGTGGCATATGGAACCAAAACTTATGTAAACAATTAGCTTACAGAAATCTTCCTTTCTCCACCCCAAGGGCACCTGTATTAAGGATGCTTTGCATCAGTCAAGAATGTCTTGAAATAAACAATTTTATTTAATAGAAAACAAAGAATAGGCTACAAGGAAGCAGATGCCCTTTAATCCTTTTTGCCAAGTGAGCCAACAGCAGTCTCTAAAGGCCAGAGGTGTTTGTTTTTGCATGGCGTTTGTTACACCTTGGGAGAAACACTCAGGAGTTGTTATTGAAGACTGGCCAAAAGATAGGGAAGTGCTAATAGGCATTCTGGTAGGCGTCCACTGTCTTATCTTGCTTATCTCAGTTCCTCACATGGTCCACAGTAGCCCACATTTGACAATGGGCAAGCACGTGTGCTGTAGAACCATGCCTTGCTGGGCTTCAAATCCTGTGCGGATCTGCATGGAACTGAGGTTCATTTAGGTGTTACTTTTGCTGGGTTAGGCCCTGTGCTTGCTTTCTGTTTTGGCTAATAGTTTGTTCCCATCTGTAAGGAAATGTCAATTACTATGATTTGGCACAAACCAAATGACAAGAAAAATCCTGTGAAAGAAGGTAATGAATTGTGATGTCTCTGACAATGAATCATGACCTCATTGAATGAGTCAGTCATGAAGAGAAGTCTGGTTGTCAAGGATACAGATGCTATTTACACACAGAGAATCTGGTAATTCACAATCACAAAAATCAGATGCTGGACTCTTCAATGGGAGTGTATCAATTAGAATTTACCCACACACACACCCCAAATAGGAAAACGCTTTAAAATCTGTTGATGTCTTTTCAAACTGGTTTTGAACACAGATGACACTAAATTGTCAGGTAGATAAATAATTAACTTCACAAATTCCCCATTCTGAAATTATGTTACGTGATTCACTGTGTCCTCCCTGGGAACATTCTCCATGCCAGGATGACTTTGTGAGACTGCTTGCAAAAGTTTAAACAGCTTCTTGTCCATAACCCAGATAAATCATTTCAGATCTGGCTTGACCATGACCTATTGCACTTCTTTCTATCCCAGTCCCTGAGCCACCCCGTGCTGTCCAAGCACCCCGGCACTGATCTGCAGCAGTTATGGCATTCCACCACCTTCCACCTTTTAATGCCGACCAAGGAAGAGCTACACTGAGAGGAGTAAGGGCTCAAGGGGGTTAAACACACCCCTCCCTTGAATGAACATCAGAGTCAGTAAGGTGCTTCAGCCCTGCTGAAAAGGGAGCACTGTGGTATTATAGAGGTGTCATTAAGAGTGTTTTTGCAGGCAGGAGGCCTCTCACTAAACACTCATACAGGAGTTGAAAGGAGAGCTGCAAATCCTTTTGAGGAAAAATTGAGAACTTTGAAAAGCACAAGACAGGGATAGTCTGTCAGGTTACTGCCATACAGCAGGGGCAGTAAGCTGGAGAGTAAAGTAATCCCTAGGACCATGGGCACCAAATCAGGCAGGGCACGGATTTGAATCCCACATCCAAAAGAAGTGCCTGGACCTCTGGGTTGCTGGCTACTCCAATGTGAGTCTCTTCTTACTTACTAGTTCAGAAATATCACTCTTAAACCTCCCCGATGACATTTTTGTAAGGTATTTGATCCTCTGAGGAAATTGGTTCTTTTATTAAACTATTCATTTCTGATAAAACACATTTTAAAAATAAAGTTTCCAGACATCTCTAATCGAGGCATAAGTTACACATGTGGTGCTTGTTTGCAGTATGACTGGGGCATATTTAAACTTTTCAATAATATGTGCCTGAAAAAAAACCTGTTGCAGTGGCATTAAAGTGGCATATATAGGTGGCTTTACTGTGCAGATTTGCTGTATGTTTAACTGCTGTTGATTTCAGTGAGAACTATCTCGTTGCCTAAACAAGGAGTCTAGTTTTTAAGCAGGAAAGCCCCCTGCCTAAAAAATACCACTTCTACTTATTTACCTAAATTGTGAAGTGCTCACGGGCTTAATTAAGTATATCTATTCAGTGCTTTGCAAAATTAAACTTCTTTAGGCTTAAATTTAAGCTAAATTTATTCTTACTTTTTACACCTTCAGCCTGGAAAGTAGGTATATAGGTATACAAGATATCCTGTATTCTCTGATTTCATAAGGGCTGAAACAGAGTGAGAAATTATGTGATGTGTCTTTGGGTAAAAAGTGGAAGAGATTGTAGTTAAGGAAGCATTTGGCCAGATACTTCTTTGGAGAGAGAAGATGCTTCAGGGGAAAAATGGATAAAGGTACCTATCAAAATAATGTTGTGTTGAAGCTTATCATTTAGTGGTTTGAACATCCAATTTGAAATACATAATCTCACCAGAGAGGACAATGCACCTGGTAACCTAAGGAGGTTTGCTGGGATTTTTGTTTTCAGTGCATTTCCGTGCAGATAACTGACATTAAAGCCTTCTTCTATGTTCCACCACCATATAAAATCCTCTTGTTACCTTCTATCTCAGATCCCATTGCCAGGCTCCGAGTCTCCGGGTGTGTCATCGTTTGAGTGCTTTGTGTCAGAACCTGGTGAATAAATGGGAACTATTGGCGCAGTTAGCCTGTTTCACTAGGTCACAAGTGTATGGAAGGATTCCAGGAGGCTGGCTGAGCATAATCAGTGAGTGGTAACGGTTGCTGATTAACTAGGATGGTATTTACAGAAATGTAGATAGTGCCAAGTTGCTTAATGACGACTAACCAAGTGTTAAATAGATCTGGAATTTTAAGTTCTGATCTTTCAGTACTTAAATTGCTAAATGAAGATTAAGGAGCATATTTTTCTTAGTTCTCAGGAGGCCTTGATCAAGACTGAGAAGGATCTGTGGGACAGCCTGAAGGCTAGCACTGTTCCTGCGGCATCCACGCAGATAATGACGCTGGAGTTTTATATGTCCTAGCTGCAGTTTGCTCTGTAAGCCAAGAGAGCTTTGGAATAGCTTAGAAACTAGGAGGGAAAACAGAAGAGGAAATAAACACAGTGTTATGGTACTATTCAGTCTTGGAAAAGGGATGTTGTAATAATGAAATTTTTAGTTTCTAGATTCACTTTCTCTTTTTAATGTTGAGATAACACTTGCTCCGTCTGCAGATAAAGTGAATTCTAAGTTAGACTTTTTTTTTCCTCCTAATTTCCCTGCAGTCTCTTTCCAACTGATTTTTTTTTTTTCTCTAATCAATTCCCTGTTGCCCACAATTAAGTTTCTAACATAATGGCCATAGCTTTACCTGTGCAGCCCATTGTCTTCATTATGTCACTGATGCCCGTGACAGGCTATGCAAGGATGTCTGGGCTTGTACAACTTCTGCCGTAGCTGATGGTGCAGTAGACCAAATCAGACAGCTACAGTCAGAACTGAAGGTGAATTTGTGGGCTGACAGCAAAAAAAAGAGTATGGTCTTTGGATGTAGTGTTATATGTTAATGGTTAAGAGTCTTGTTGCTTTTTGAAACCTGCTGTTAATTATAATAATTATATAATCACATTACATTTGAAAAGCAGCCTGTTTTTTTACTAGACCTGTTTTTTGGTTTTCCTACCTCAGGTCGTCCAGATGGTTCCATAGTTCCTTGATGTTCTTTAGCTGCATTGACGTGTGCTGTCTTTCTTGATTAAAAAATCAGCTTTTCTGTATAGTCATCAGCTCCATTCAGCTTTCTTCAGTTCACTCCAGGCACCTCTGACATCTGTATACATGCAGCGTCCTGACACGTTTCAAATCTGATCAGATCTGAACCACCAGCTAGGCCCTTGACACTTACCAGCTTTTACACACACAACAGATTTTGAAGCACGGCAGCAAAGAGCGTCTGCGCTGACAACTGGCTTTGACATCATCCCCCACGCAACTGGGTAGAGGCATCAACACCAGTACTTGGCTGTGGTGTGACATAGTGTATGTTGATGGGAAATTCCTGCAGCAATGGAGAACCTGTCCCGTAAGAGTTACTAAGTTTATCATCATTAGCCGTTTCTGTGCTTGTGGTCCCCAGGGTGAGCGGTCAGAGTGCTCAGCAGGGTGGTAGGATGCTCATGAAGACATCCAAAAGGAAACTCACATGAAGTGTAGCAGTAGTATGGAGAACACACAAGAAGATTTTTCTTAGCAAGCATTTTTGGTCCCATTTGCCAGCTTCTCAGCTTTCTTTGATCCACTCTTAAATAAGCGCAAGTTACCAGCAGATAGTTTCCAGTCCGCTAGTATGCTTCTAAAAATGCATACTAGTACCATGTAAAACTATTAAGCAGCCCTTTAGGTCTCTTCAGCCCTATGCTTGTGCTTTGTGTGCCTGTTTCTCTGAGACAGGATTCAGTCATTGAGATTTTTTTGCATGCCTTTAATGCCTTTTGCTGCAGTTAAATGCAATGGATGGAATATGTCAAGTTCTTTTCATAGAAAGGAGATTTTGAAGATCCATTTTTCAGCGGAGGAAGTCTGTCATCTTAAGTTTATGTCCTAACCTACCTAAAGCTCCTTTTGTTGCTGTGGTGTTCTCTGTTTTCAGCACACATAGCAGCAACATGTTATTACACAGTTAAGCTACACTTCTAAACATATGGACAAATGTAAAACCAGCAAAGAATGTAGCATTACCTGGGAAAAATATCTACACCATATATTTTTGTCCAAATAATGTCCCAGATTTATACAGTATGCAGATGCATCATGATCTTGATATGAAGTGTTCCTATAAATGGAAAAAGTGATTTGCCAATTTGTGAAATGATCTTTTTCCCCTACAGCTGCTTTTCAGTAACTGCATATATGATTTTCTGACACCCTAGTAGCCTCAGCAGTGAAATCTCAGGAAGGGATAAAGCTTTCCCTGTCAGGAGATATTTTCATTGGTATTGGATATGTAAAAGAGAGTGTCATAGCTTTTATGGCAGTATAAATATTCCGTGGAGAGACTATGTTGTTTGCTGAAGTTAGCTACATCCTGCTCTTTCCTCCTCCAGTCCACTCATTTGGCGACAGATAGCGTGAATTCAGAGGGCCCCCTGTTCCTCAGTTGTGTTGCTGACACCAAGGGAACTGCGTTCATCTGCTCTGGGCTGCTTCTGTTCTACGTGCTGCGCTTCAGCTCTGTGCGTCCCCTCCCACAAATGTGATGTTCAGAGCAAAGCTTACTGCGCGACCGGCTCAGCAGCTGGCGTCGCAGCTCTGTGGCTGCGTGTGAGTGACACGGTGCCTTCACGCAATTAACTTAATGGATTCAGAGAACCTCCAGAACTCCTAGCTTGGAAATATTCCCAAGGGAGACTTTTTTTTTAACCTCTTTAGAAGTCACAAGAATAAAACTGAATACAAAGCATTTGGGGTTTTTTTCTTATGCCTAAAATACAGCCTCTATAAAATGAAATCATTCTTGCAAGTCACTGTTGGCTCCCTCTTAGTTTTTCCTTAGGGCCCCATTCTCATTTACACCGGCAGCAGTGCAAAGTTGCCTTGATGTAAATGAAAATCAGGCCCTTTATCAGCATTACAGTTAAATCTAGGCCAGTGTGAGAGTCATCTCCCATTAGCAGAGGCTAAATACCTGCTAGAAATTGGAATTCAAAGGGTGAAGCATTGTACTGCATCACTATGTTGTGTAATGCAACTGAGATCAGTCTTGTTTAAATGAAGCAATGGCGAAAAGGAAGTCAGATTAAATTCAGTCCTTTTTGAAGGGTGTAAATGGGTATAGGAATTAATTTCAAGCTTTTTCTTCTCAATACCTAACCAGAGAAGAGTCTGCCTCCCCTGAAACCATGCATCAATTTCATTAGCTGAAACAGTCATGTGGAAATCCAAGATTAATGTTTTATGCCTACATCCCTCTGTCCCTTGTCTTGCCACCTTCTTCAGTAGAGTCCGTGACCTGTCAGTCCATGATTAGAGTTGTGGCAGCATTTGTGAGGTGCTGCATCACAAACTAGAGCAGCACCCTAACACAAATGTGCAGGTAATCCTATGGAGGAGTTTCAAAGCACATCACTTGTAGAGTATGCAGTTACTTGTGAAAGACATGGTGAAGCCTTTCTGATACAAAGACAGAAGGAAGTGTGTGTAGTTTTTGGGTTGGATTTTTTTTATTTTTAAGAGGGCATCGAACGGAACACACGTAAAAAGAGCAGATAAAGAGAATCTGTATTCTAACAACAGGATGTGTTTTCTCTTTTTTTTTCCCTCTGAGGTGATTCACTGGAACTCACCAAAGAAGCTGCGAGTGAAAAACAAGCACGTGGAGTTTTTCCGCAATCTCTACCTGACATTCCTGGAATATGATGGGAATTTGCTGAGACGGGAACTCTTTGGCTGCCCCAGTGAGGCAGATGTTAACAGCGAAAATGTAAGTGGGATGTCTAGAGCTTGATGACTTAAGGGGTGGGTCATACAAGGCACAGGCTATGGAGAGTTGGTGGTGTGGATAGTGCAGTGCGGAGGGACTCAAGAGAATTGAGGTCAGTGTTCAGATTCCAGGAGCTACACTATGCAAATCATTTAATCTCTGTGCCTCAGTTCCTCGCCTGTAAAACTGTCATATTAATCCTGATTTTCCCCGGGTTTTGTTGCTTTTTTTTTTTTGTCTACTTTGCCTTTTAAAAATCCCCAACAAATGTAGCATCACAAACTGAAAATGAGGATTTGGGCTCTTAATTCCATTAAGCAAGTTTTTAAACCTCACCCTTAGACCTAAAACTTTCCAGAGGAAGGGCTGGTTTCTTTCTGTGTGTTTGTTCAGCATGCAGTGATGTCAATTTTGGCTAGTAGATGCTAATGCACAAATAATGAAGAAGAAACAAAAATATCAAGACTGATGGATTTAGGTCTATGAGTTTTTGCTGTGCTGCAAACTACAGAATGAGTTAATACTTCAAGGTAGACAGAGGCTGTGAGACTGCAGGTTTTTTCTGCACTGCCCCCAACCAAACACAGCAGCATTTATGTGTATCTGCATAAAATTTGCAATCAGAACCTTTCAGACGAAGTAAATCCTTTGAAAATGGTTGAAATCAGGGGTGTTTATATACAGATGTTCTTATGTGTGCATATGCCTTAGTACATATAATTCCAACGAAAAAAACCTGTTAACTGAAACATTTATACACAGATGTATATGAACTCCTTGTGTATAGTGTGGTCTCTGGAGATTTCTAGACCAAGTGACAATTTTGGCTACGTAGTCTGAAAGGAAATAAAAAGGAATCTGTAACATTTTATGTTACCTTCAAGGAAAAAAAAAAAAATCTAAAATTCTACAACATTCTCTATATAAAAATCAATAAAGCAAAGCCAGTATCATGTACACATTAGCAGTTAAGAGGTAATTGCCAATCAATAGCATCGTTGAAGCTTGTAGTGTTTCCATTTAGTCTGTGGATAAAATGACCACAGGAGATGCCAATTCCAAATTTTTTAACTATAGCACTCAGAGATTGGATAGATAAATTTTAGCCTAAGGCATGGCTTCCCAGATGCTGATTTGACCATCCCACTGTCTTCTGAAAGGAGTGGGGAACAATGAGAAACAGGAGATAAACATTAACTGGGAGAGACTGGGGGGTTGGCAGGGAGAGCAAAAGCACATGGAGAAAGAAAAACCTCTACAAGAGTGAGAGGCTTTTAGACAATCAAGTGAACTGAATACGATAAAAGACCACTAAGAGTCTGACAGTCAGAGATATCAAGATACACTAGACAGAGTAGAGGGTAGGATAGGAAGAGAAAAGGGGAGTGAGACATTTAAAAAAATAAAAAAGGACAACAGAACAAAGCACACCTTCATCACACTTTAAGAATGCAGGATAAAATTATACTGAATTCACAATATGTTGTGTGGGTTCGAAGAGCATGAGTGCAGTCACAGACTTGTTGCTATATTTTCTAGAGCTCTGTAAATCCTTAATAAACAAATTTATTCCAGACGACAAGTTGCTGGGGAGCAGTGCACAGTGAATGCAAGTTCTTGCTGCTGAAAATGGCAGTCCTGAAAGTTTAAAATGGCTCATTTTACTGAACTTGTATCTAGTTGACAGACACTGGAAATGACTAACTGTTCAAGCCTGTTTCTTATTCAAGACAAGTAGAGCGCAATATGGTATATGGTATGGCTTTTGTTTTGAAAAACCCATTCTTCCTTTAAAAAAAAAAAAAAAAAAAAAAGAGATACTGGAAAAGAATGAGCTAGACATACAAAAATACATGAGTCCTAACTTGCCAAGAGACACCAAAAAGTTAACAGTCTTCTATCAAAACAATAAGATACAGAAAAAAAATTAACTTCAGATGGCTTAGGAGTAGTCACTTAGGAGAAGACATTGTTTTTTATTCATTACCCTTGATGCAAGGGTAATCCCATCTAAACTTGACTATGGCCTTTTTATTGTAGAATACAAAAAGCAAGTTTCAGCTTTGAAGTTATGAGACCTTAAGAACAGGATTATCATGACAACCACTCTTTCTCTCACTCTTGTCTGCTGTAACACATACAGTGTCACAGGTGTCCTATTAAAATACAGGACATTCCCATGATCTATTGCAGAATAATCTTCAGAAGCAGAGCATCTTGTAAGGTGAGCAGGGAATGACTGTTTGTCATTCCTCACAGTACAAGAACTAGGGGGCATGAAGTGGAAATAGCAGGTAGCAGGTTCAAAACAAAGACAGACATTTCACCCACGATGTAATGAAGCTTTGAGTAGGAGGTAATGTCGCTAAAAATATACATATGCTCAAAAGTGACTCTTTATGGAAAGGAAATCAATCCAGAGCTGTTAAACTTCAGTGCAGAAAGTCCTTGAACCACAAGTTCAGGGCTAGGGGAGCATTCTGAGAAAGCATCGTTGTACACTCACCCTGCTTTTACACTCCTCTCTAGGCACCAGCATCCACTGGGCTAGATGGACCTTTATTCTGACAAGATGCAGCCGTACATTTCCATTAGGATTCCTAAGCATATATGTTACATAAAAGGCTATAATTTCTGCAGAGTCAATTATCTATAAAGTAGGAATTTTTATTTCATTTATCTTAATACCTATTATTTTTCCCTTCTTCTCTGAATTGAGACTACCAGCCCCAAAACACAATTGGGCTTTATTATGTCAGGCATTGTACATGGGTAAAAGGTGCTCCTTCAGCTGCCTCTGCTTCTCTGCACTGTAGACCAGTGGACAAAATGTTAGAATAGCTCTGCTGGTTTGATAATCAGGGAGAATTACTGAAGCACTAAATGCACTGAGCCCTGTTGTGGAAGAATCAGTGGCTTGGTGTGAGTCTGTCACTCAGTCTGGCTATATCAGAATCCATCCTTAAGGTCTTGTTCCAATAGGCCAGCCGTTGCTTCTCTACAGTTTAATATTTGTAATGATGTTTTATTTAGAATGCAACCTGTAATTAAGGAATCTCATTTGTTATGCAAATGTCTATGAAACATGAAAAGGAAGTGTGGCAGTGAGTACCATTGGGCTGGTTCTCTTACTCTGAGGCAGCTTTACACTTGTCATCACTACGGAGATGGCCTTAAAATTGGTGTAAATCATGTATCTTCCCTTTTTAAGGACTCTTTACAATGCCAGAGAGATGTAAAGAGGCATTAGTTTAAAAGGTAATCAGGCCTTACATTAATCTCTCTCACTCTTCCTTTGGGTATGTCTGTGCATGCATGTATGCTTAAATATGTATGTCTATATGCATGTGGAAGGATTAGTACTTTTCTTTTTTGAATGTTTTCTAAGGGAGTATGATACGACAGACTGAATTTTACGAGGTCTAAAGGCAGTCTTTGGATCTTATAGTGTGTAGTCTGGATCTAGTCAGTTGCTGATCTTCAGCTGCACCAAACAGCACTATTATTAGGTTCCAAAACATCATAAATGGGAATGAACAGAACAGATAGGGCTCTGAAACTGAAATATTGGAGGCAAAGAAATACAGACTGGGGTAATTTTTCTGTTTATGTAAAAATATTTATATGTATGTCTCTGTGTCCATACATGTTTCATCCTTTCCCTGAAATATTCAAGTTGAAAGACTCTGTAAGTTGCAGTGACAGGCTGTGAACGGAAGCGTGCCACATGCTCCTTGCCACAGAGCAGTACTGTAAGTCCCCTTTATTCAGTATGTACTAAAATGAGATTACACAGAGCAGACTTTTCTCTGCAAATTGGTACTGCAGTCACCCCTTTGCCTTTTGTGCAGATTCTAGGTGGGAAATTCAGAGTATGAACCAAATCCTACTATAAACACAGCCATTGACTCAAGTGGCCTGTGGAGCACATCCCTGATCACTCCAGCCTACTTATTCCGTGCTATTTCCCCCTTGTCACTCCTTCTTTCTTATTTTTATGCAATGCAGAAGATTTTAGGGAAAACCACGAGGGCAAAACTCACAATAATCTCAAATTTGAACGTTTTCTATTGGCTTTTAATGCTTATGTCCAGCATTTCATTCTAAAGGACCTACTGTGAAGCCTAAAATATTTCAACAGGATCTTCTGTGTACCAGCCTATCTCTATAGTTACGCTCTGAGATAGATATTATAAGGCTGATTTTAGCACACAAGCTCACACTCAATCTTTCAGCATTCTCATAAAACTTCCTTCCTGCAGACAGCTTCTCACTGGGTACTTCTGCCAAAGCATTAAATCTGAAGGTTGAATGGGGTGTATCCTGTTAGTGAAGTCTGTCTCCTGATCCAAAGCCCACAGCAAGACCAGTGGGAAGTTTATCAGTGATTTCACTCAGTTTAAGGAAAGGACAGTAGATTCCCATTAGAGAAGGCTTTCAGAAAACACAGGAAAAATTCTGTGCTGACTCTTATTTTCAGATTTTCAAATCAACAATACAAAGAAACAGTGTAAAAAAATCTAGTTCTCCCTCAAAATGCTTGCTTAAGTGTGTACTTACTTGCTAAATGTGGTTTTATTTATTTACTGGTTTTTGTGCGAAAACAGAGATTCTGAATGTTAGCAAATGGCTGTGCATGACAGCTTGTAATATCCACCAGAAAAGCAGGAGATTCTAGAAATGTACCACATAGTATAAACTCTACTAAATTTAGCAATTTTTGAATGTCTAAAAATAGCATACAAAGGGAGCTTCCAAGTCAGTGTCAGGGCGCTGAACTTGTAGTCAGGCTGACGCTTTCAGTACCCGTTGTTCCTGCAGAATTTCGGAATACTTACATTTGTAAGACTGGGATTTAAAGTTACTGTTTTGTCATGACAAATTCTTTCTCTAGTAATAGCAGATGGTATATGGCAGTTTTGAGGTGAAATCCTGACTTCACCAGCTGTGTTCTTTCTATTATTATAACTGTTATTGTTATTAAATGCTGAGCTGGTAGC